GGGGCACAATTCACTGCCATTATACAGCTTGAAATTTTAAATATACCTGCGATTGTGTTAGTCTGAAAGAGGAATGTCTAGGATGCCTTGAGGGTGAGTAAATCATGGGCTAATTTTCATTTTTGGGTGAACTATCCCTTTAATGCTAATGAAATGTAAAACTGAGAAACCATCATACCTGCGGTCCTCTCTGATGGTTTCCTGTGACGGGCAGCGAACTTCCTCCAGAGTGGGGAGGGCCCATATGTTGCCGACACACACCTTGAATGCTCGAGGTCACATTTAGTTCCCTGAGGACAGCAGTGTCTCTTATCTTCACAGCACACGGCCTGAACACACACACAAAGAGAAAGAAAGACAAATGTAAACATTACCATGTACATGTAACAGCATTCCAGAATAAAAATATGGTCAAACAGGTGCTATACATTTTTCATAGCACAGCAGCCCCAGCTGCCATCAGGCATCTGGCAGCAGGTGGTGTCATCGGGACACTCAGACTCCTGATCTGGACAAATTACTGCTTGCTAAAATCACAAACAAAAAGAGAAAGTTTTATTTCAATTTAAGACTAAAACAAAAGATGGATTCATTGTTATTCTTAATTAAAAAGCATAACAACGATAAAACAGTAAGATACAATGACAAACTAGCTTACAAAACGTTTATTAATAAAACTGAATAAGATGTGGCATGGCATACACCACATGCTGTATTATATGCAGACTAAAAAATTACAGAACGTTTAGCTCGTGTTAAAAAAAAAAAAAAAAAAAAAAAAAAGAGAGAGAGAGATTTATTTCAATGCTGAATATTTACTCAAGGCTTATCTGGATTTGTGGCTGTGCAGGTATGCATGTTACCTGCTTTGTGGCGACTTTTTCCACCCAGTCTAAAATGTGTGTCTTGTTCACACACTTGGAGTGTACCAGGTCACACAGAGTGCCCTGATAACAGCAATGCAAGTGATCGGAGCAGCATTCTGCCTACAAACACACATACAAAACAAGAGTCATTTGATATAAATGTGCACATTGTTTACTGTGTTTAAAGGAATAGTTCCCCCAAAAATAAAAATTTACTCACCCTCAGGCCAAACAAGGTGTAGATGAGTTTGTTTCTTCATGGGAACAGATTTGGAGAAATTTAGCATTACATCACTTGCTCACCAATGGATCCTCAGCAGTGAATGGGTGCCGTCAGAATGAGAGTCCAAACAGCTGATAAAAACATCACAATAATCCACACCACTCCAGTCCATCAGTGAACATCTTGTGAAGTGAAAATCTGCGATCAATCAAATCCATCAAGACATTTTAACTTTAAACGGTCGCTTCTGGGCAAAATATGAGTCCATAATCCATAATAACGCTTCCTCCAGTGAAAAAAAAAACTCCACCCCCTGTTGTCCTCTCACATCAAAATCCACCCACATATCTATTTAGAATAGTTTTGAACTCTTTTCACTTGTAAAATTTGCTTGATCTGTGCATTTTTCTCTCCTGATTCAGATGAGATGACTTTTCCACTGGAGAAAGCAATATTATGAATAGAGGACTCGTATTTTACCCAGAAGCAACCGTTTGAAGTTAAAAATGTCTCAATGATGGATTTGTTTCTTACAAACGCAGATTTTCACTTCACAAGATGTTAATTGATGGACTGGAGTGGTGTGGATTACGGTGATGTTTTTATCAGCTGTTTGGACTCTCATTCTGACGGCACCCATTCACTGCAGAGGATCCATTGGATAGCAAGTAATGCAATGCTACATTCCTCCAAATGTATTATTATGATGAAGAAACAAACTCATCTACATCTTGGATGGCCTGAAGGTAGTACATTTTGAGCTAATTTTAATTTTGGATAGAAGTACTCTTAACAGAATGGTTCACGAAGAAAAATTTTTTTCTCAATTTCGATCCACTAATGGAACACAAAAAAAATTCTCAAGTACCTTTTGTGTTCAGAAAAAGTCATACAAGACAGAACTTTTATTTAGCAAGGATGCATCAAACTGATCAAAAGTGACTGTAAAGACATTTTAATGCTACAGAAGATATTTCAAATAAATGGTTTCCACAAAAATATGAAGCAGCACAACTGTTTTCAAAATGGATGATAATAAAAAAAATATTTATTGAGCAGCAAATCAGCATATTAAAATGATTTCTGAAGGATCATGTGACATGATCCTGGAGTAATGATGCTAAAGATTTAGCTTTGCATCACAGAAATAATATACTGCACATCTCGACATATATTAAAATAGAAAATAGATATTTTAAATTGTAATATTTAACAATTTTACTGCATTTTGATCAAATAAATGCAGCCTTGGTGAGCAGAAGAGAACTTTAAAAAAAAAATCTTTCCGACCCTAAACATTTGAACAGTAGTGTAACTACCATATACACATACGTTGGGTAGCGGGCAGCAGCCGTATCCTCCTGACGGAGTTTGACAGCAGGTGCTTCCATCTTCACACATCCCTCCATCAGGACAAATCAGAGCGCCACACACATTCAGACAGACACATAACAACGCTACGACACCCGCACGCACCTGAAAAAACAAGAAATGGGTGTGAACTGAACACCATTTGATTCTGTGTTTATGTGACACAGTTTTCATTATCATCTTTATCAAAATATAGTGTCATAAAAAAAACACCTGCATAGTAGCACAAAACTTCAGAAGCTCGAGGCTGATTAGCTACAACGGTTTGCAAAACACTTTAAATATATAATATAAATCTGTTAAAGTTATGATACATAAAAATCATTGAGGAATGTCTGGTAGAATTTAGTGAAAAAAATGAAGTTCTATTTAAAACATTCCACACGCCTGAGTGCCTTAGTCAGTCAATCGACAGACAAAAATGGATTACAACATTTGAACAAGAGTTTCTTAAAGGCATACATTTCCCAATTAGTTGATTTATTGAGCAATACAACAATGCTAAACACTGCTGACAATCTCATGACAGATCGAGGTCAAGCCTGGTTGATGAACAATTGCTTCAGCAGACTTTAGACTTACTGAAGGCTATACTGTGGCAACATGGTAAAAGCATTGTTTGATTTCATATAATGTTTGTATCACAATTTAAGGAATTAGAGAACTACTACACACTACTCACCATTGTGTGTGTGTGTGTGTGTGTGTGTGTGTGTGTGTGTGTGATTGCTGATCCACAAAACTAATGCTCTTCAAATTTTCAGATGCAAACCCATGTACGATTTTCTTGCGCTGTAACACAAAACATTAAAAAGCATAAATAAATCACATTATTGCTCACATTAAATAAGCACTGTTGTCATTTGTTTTAACACAATCATTTGTAGGCTAATCACTTTGTGGCATTGTTTAACAAAAAAAAAGGCAACTCTTTGATCGTATTTGTTTTTTTAATTTATGAAAGCGGTCAAATGTACAGCCACAAATGTCTTGCAAACTTGAAAAGCTTCAATTTGTGTAAAGTAAACAGTTAATACATTTTAAAGCCTGTCTTTGAAAAGAAGGAAGCATGTTTTCGTTGCATCGATGATTGAAACCGTATCATTTTAAACTGCTGTTGTAACTGTTGTTGTAGCATTGTTTCTCATTGTTTCCGACGGAAGCGAGTGAGCGACCGGAATAAACCCGAAACAAAGACTTATTTTATTAAAGAAAAAAGGATGACATTAGCATAAAGAGAAATGACTTACCGTATTTCACGAGGCAAGCGAAGATATCAGCGTAAAAATGGATCCGGTGAAGTGGATATAATGCTGTTCTCTGCTGAGTTTGACTTTATTTATCTGTCATCTTATCACGTGACCCGAGCATGTCACATGACTCTCCGTTATCTCAACCAGTCAGGCTGCTGGTTTGTCTTTTATTATCAGGCAAAACAACTTGAACACCAACAGAGATGTTCATTTAGTCTACATGACAAAATAGTTTACGTTATGCAAAAATAAATAAATAAATAAGAAAAAATTCAAAAAATATACTACTACTAGGCTACTACTACTAATAATAATAATAATATAAAATTAAAACGTATAATAATATTTCTAGTAGTATTTCTAATCTGCATATATAACTAATAAAATATTAGATATAAATTGCTTGTTTCTCATTGTTTCCGACGGAAGCGAGTGAGCGACCGGAATAAACCCGAAACAAAGACTTATTTTATTAAAGAAAAAAGGATGACATTAGCATAAAGAGAAATGACTTACCGTATTTCACGAGGCAAGCGAAGATATCAGCGTAAAAATGGATCCGGTGAAGTGGATATAATGCTGTTCTCTGCTGAGTTTGACTTTATTTATCTGTCATCTTATCACGTGACCCGAGCATGTCACATGACTCTCCGTTATCTCAACCAGTCAGGCTGCTGGTTTGTCTTTTATTATCAGGCAAAACAACTTGAACACCAACAGAGATGTTCATTTAGTCTACATGACAAAATAGTTTACGTTATGCAAAAATAAATAAATAAGAAAAAATTCAAAAAATATACTACTACTAGGCTACTACTACTACTAATAATAATAATATAAAATTAAAACGTATAATAATATTTCTAGTAGTATTTCTAATCTGCATATATAACTAATAAAATATTAGAAAATTATAAATTGCACTGCAGTGTCATCAGCGGTCTGATTTTTGCTGATTCAGAAAGCTAACCATTAAAAACGAACATTATTCAATAATTTTATACGGATGAATCTCACAATACCTGTCAAGAAATGTCAAAAACAACAAAAAAAAGCATCAAAAAAGCATAAAAAACAAACAAACAAAATTTCTAATGGCCTATCTGTTAATTGGACCCCTTATAAGGACCCATTGTCTGAAGATTATATTTATTACTGAAAATTATTAATACTAATTATAGTAAAATTATTATCCGTTCTCACTTCTCTCTCATTTAAAGGGCCATCGGTAAATTCGTGAGAAATTAACAGATGACTGTGTGTCTCGTGTCAAACTAACGGTAGGTGGCAGTAATGCGCTGTTCACGTTTGCACACCGCCGCTAAACCAAAGACAGAAGTTGTTGTTGTTGTGAGGATGTGTCAGTGTTTTAACATTTAACATGTCGTGTGCAGCTGTGAATTGTACAAATCGTCATTCACCAGGATCTAGTACAAGTTTTCATCGGTCGGTTGGTTATTGAATTTATTTACGTTAGTCTTAATTAATCGTCCAGCCACATTATTAAAACTGTATTTATTTATTTAACGTGCAGTTCATGTGCAAATATTAAGACTTCTTTGTCTTTTTAACGTTTTGTGTGTGTGTTGATAATTTTTTGAATAGTTTAGTTTGAATAGTGTGCAGAATAGTTATTTAAGAGAAACCTAATTCAATAGGGGTTTTTTTTTTTACTCTTAAAACCTTATAAACCAGTTTGGATGTTAAAATAGTAATTCAACCAAAATGAATTCGATATGTTTTATGGCTTTTTTTATTTGATCGTGACCTGCCTCTACTGAACAAAGACTATAAATGAGCATGCTGTGTTGTAAAAATCTAACTGACTGTCTTTCCCTCTTTCTGAAATCCATCTTCTCCATTCATTTCCCTCAGTTTCCCATTAGGTGATAAAGATCGGCTTCAGCAGTGGCTGGTGAACATCAGACGTGACCATTTCAAGCCGTCTCCATCTTCTCGTATATGTTCCCACCACTTTAAAGACAGCTGCTTCTTCACAAACAATAAAGGTCAAATGTGCCTTGCTAAAACGGCTGTCCCTACCATATTTTTCATCCCTGGCCCCTTTCAGAAGCAGCCACGGCGCACCCAAGTAAGGCAGAGGAACGTGGAAAGTCATGAATTTCATACATACTGTCTCAAAAGGGATGACAGGAGAAAGTATGTGGAGGAGGAAGTTGTTTTGGATGAGTTTGTGAAAGAGGAAGATCCAGACATGACTGAAACTAGTGGGACCCCAGTGATTTACCCCACTGAAATATGCGTCATTGCAGTTAGACATGATCATTGCTACTGTTCTTGGTCTTCAAACACAGCTTGTAGTTCCATGGAGGACAGCAGCTCAACGACAGACATGCAGGAGACCGAATCACCAGAGATGTTGAAGTACAATTTGAACTTAGTCCTGAGAAAGATCAAGGCTTGCAGAAAAAAGATGAAACTGAAGAATGCTACGATTAGAAGGTTAAAAAGAAAATTGACTTCACTGTCTTCCATCATTTCGGAGCTGAAAGCGAAAGATCTCATAGAGACAAAAATCATGTTACCCTCAGGCAAAGCAAGTTGTAAGTATATACAGTATATATCATTTTTCCTTAAGAATAATTTAAATGATCAAGGATTTGGATTAGCATCAGTTCATTTTGTTGACAATATGATAAGTTACATATTACAAAGCAGGACATTTTTCAAAAACAATTCAACATATTCTGTGTCTAGACGTGGGATTAATAAAGCAACAACATGGATTTAATATCTGTAAGTCAGTAAATTTAGTCAGCACCCTATAAAGACAGCAAAGCAAGTTACTAATGTATATACAGTAGGCTATATATAATTTTTTACATTTGAATATTTCTAATAGGATTAATAAAGCAACAACATGGATTTAATATCTGTAAGTCAGTAAATTTAGTCAGCACCCTATAAAGACAGCAAAGCAAGTTACTAAGTATATACAGTAGGCTATATATAATTTTTTACATTTGAATATTTCTAATATTTCACACAAAACATCTCTGGTTACTATCGTAACCTCGTTTCGCTGAGAGCGGGAACGAGACATTGTGAGAATCATCATTTACTCACCCTCATGTCGTTCCAAACATGTATTACTTTCTTTCTTCGGTGGAACACACACACAAAAAAGATATTTTGATTAATATCTGTTAACAAAGAATAATGTCAAGCTTTAAAAAGGACACAAAATTATCATAAAAGTCCACGACTCATGCACTATATTGCACAGTGTTATTTTAGTATCATCGAGAATGTCATTATAATATTTTTTGGTTTTTAATTCCAGGTTTTTATTTTCAGCTAGTTTTTGTCATTTTGTTGTTTTTTTACATTTAGTAGTTATTTTTTATGTCTATATAGCTTAGTACATAAAGTTAATCTAAATAAAAATATATAAATAAAAATATTATTACAGAAATATTGCCTTGGCTGAAATAAAATATTTCATATATATATATATATATTTTACTTCATTTGATTATTTATTTTTTTTTTTTTTTTTTTAGTTTACTTTTGTTTTATTTCAAGTAATAGAATTATTTTTTTTTTTTGTAGTTTTAAGTTTTAGTTGTAATAACCCTGCTATATTGTAAGTCTTATATCTTTGAGAGAGGAACAAAACAAACCATTTCGGTCTGAACTATTTCTTTAATTTGCAAGCTGAAAATGAAAAAAAAAAAAGAGTAAATATAAGTAGTATTTATATACATTTAAATATTGTCTTGGAAATTGAATGTCACCCTTCATGTCTCCACAGCTGAAAGGATCTAAACCATGGGCTCCAGCTCAAACCGAAGAGTCGAGAGCTGTAAAATAATTACTCCTGGTAAGAGCCTCGGACTCAAGACCACTGTATGCCTTGGATGAGGAGGTGGTTTTGTTCTGGCAGTATTCTTCCAGTCATTTCCACTGGTCTGTAACAGACACACCGTGGGAAATGACTTTGTGTTCTGTAATAAGCCGATTTGGTCAGGAGGATGTAGAGATCTCAGATGAAGAGATATCAGAAGAATACATAAAGAATAGCACTTTATTTTCCTTATTTAGTTTTGAAAAAGCAAGAAACCCTGAAGGAACCAGCATAGACGTGAGCCTGGATGGTGTTTGCATCGCTCATTTTCTCAGGGATGTTGAATTGTTACATGATTTGTTTGTACATTGTAGGCTGCCTATGTTCTACTTGCACATTTTGATATTGTACAATTCGTAAATTTCTGAAATATTTGAGATCTTGGTTCCTCTCCTCTAAAAAAGCTTTAGTCTTTCTTAACTGATCACTACAGAATCACTACAGTACAAATTTAGCATGGAAACATGCTGCCAGTTGCAGATATGCTGAACATTTCAATATACACTACCGGTCAAAAGTTTGGGATCAGAACGATTTTTAATGTTTTTTACATGAGTCTCTTATGCTCACAAGGCTGCATTTATTTGATCAAAAATAAAGAAAAAAATGTAATATTGTGTAATATTATTATGATGTAAAATAACGTTTTTCTATTTTAATATACATTAAAATCTAATTTATTCCTGTGATGCAAATCTGAATTTTCAGCATCATTACTCCAGTCTTCAGTGTCACACATTCCTTCAGAAATCATTCTAATATGCTGATTTATTATCAGTGCTGGAAACCGTTGTGCTGCTTAAAGGGGTCATATGACGTTACTAAAAAGAACATTATTTGGTGTATTTGGTGTAATGAAATGTGTTTATGCGGTT